TCATAGAACATTTCATTACAGGCTAACAACGAACCTCGAACCTCGCACTTAAGCCCACTCAACAATGAAAGTTTTAAAATTGTACAAACTAAATCAGTGGTTCCCAAATTGGGCGGTACCGCTCCCTGGGGGGGTGGGATGCCTTAGGGGGGCACTGAGAGGCAAGGGGGCTGACAGGGGGTGCTAAGAGGTGGCAGGGGGCGCTGGAGGTGAGTGGCAGGGCACAATTCAGGGAAGAGAGAAAATCCCATCACTGCCGCGTTTGAGGCAAGGCCCCGCGGGATCATCCCATTGACTTGCACGCTCTGGTGCAAGGAGATCCGCCCCAAACGCAGCATTGGGAAAGGAGAGCAAAGCCAGAGTGGCTTTGCTCTCCTTTTCAAACATCCCACCGCCACCGTGTTCCACCCCATTGAGCCCCTTGCACCGGAGGCACCTGCCCAAGCAAGTCCGAATGGAGCGGTGCACGAAGTCAATGGGGTGAGCCTGAGAGAGGGAAAGAGAGAGGAAAGAGAGAGAGGGAGAAAGACAGAAGGAAGAAGAGAAAAAGAAAAGGGAAAGAAAGAAAAAGGGACAAAGAAAGAGGTGGAAGGAAGGGACAGAAAGAAAAAGAAAAAGGGACAAAGAAAGGGGGGATGAAAGGAAAGGACAGAAAAAAAAGAAATAAAGAAGGGAGGGAGGGAGGAGAAAGATAATGAGATATCTATTCTAGTCCAATCACCTGCTCCAGCAGGGTTAGAAGGGAGTGTGTGTGTGTGTGTGTGTGTGTTCTCCTTGTAATTTACCAATACATTTTGGTTTTGCCTTCTTCAGAATTGGCACTGTAATACACTGGGGAAAAGTAATTTTTTAGGGTGGAGGTCTGGTCCAATGGATCCTGTTTAAAGCCTCAACAAAATGTGAGAGCTTCCTGGTAGTCTTGACCATGTTTCGTCCACAAAACCTTTAATTAATAGAAGCCAAAGATGTTTCAATGTGCTGGCAAAGATACTGGCATAGATGTTTCAATGTGGAAAAGGGCCTCTAAACTAGGCTTCATTTCAATCTGATGCATCAGGTCTCTCTCTCTCTCCTCCTCTCTCCCCCTCCCCCCTCCATCCCTCCAAGCCCCCCCTCCTTTTCCCTCTTTCTTTCTTTCCCTTTTCTCTTTCTGTTCTTTCTTCTCTCTTTCTCTCTTTTCTCTCTCTCTCTTTCCTTCTCCCAGGTTCACCCCATTGATTTGGTGCACTGCTCCGCTCGGACTTGCTTGGGCAGGTCCGTCCAGTGCAATGGGCTGAATGGGATGGACCTGCGGGGCTGGCACCTAGAACGCGGCACTGCTGGCACGTTTGCAAAGTAGAGCAAAGCCAGAGGTCGGTAATTTTTGCTGCAAAAAATCACAAAAGCTTCTGGGTTGTGCACAAGAAGGGACACATGTCAGTGCAATTCAGCAACATAAAATAAAGAAATACAAATAAAACAAATCAATAAGAATTGGCAAAGCACCTCTGATTAGATTTTATTCACTACTAGAATCTAATCAGAGATGCTTTGCCGATTCTAGTCCAATGACCTGCTCCAGCAGGGTTAGAAGGGAGTGTGTGTGTTTGTGTGTGCATGACTGTCAAAACTCCAAAAAGAGGTCAAGTAGGTCTGGGGAGGCCAGTCATAAATTAGAACACTTGCTAAGCAACTGGCCATTAAGTGAGGACCAGTTGTATTTGGTTTGCCAGTCACCAAACCACGCTCACCCAGTCACGTGACCAGCATGCCACACCCACCCAATCACGTTACCAGCAAACCACACCCTCAAATTAGACCACGCCCACAGAAATTTGAATCCCGCCCCTGGGTTGGGGGCATTGAGGATGAGTTTGTAGCACCAAGGGGGCGGTGGACTGAAAAAGTTTGGGAATCACTTATCTAAATTGTTCTGTACAATCATTTACATACTTGTAAACGCCGCACGGTGATTGGTCAAGACGCACGGCGAGCTGATTGGCTGAGCGAGCCGCACTGATTGGCCCGCCGCGAATCTCCCGCGATTGGTGGAAACTAATCGCAGGAGATTCAAAGCGGTGCCATTGGCCACGGCCGCCGCGGCCAAGGAATAAAAGCCGCTGCTTTTCCCTTTTCGAGCCGAGCCGATCTCGGAGCAAATAAAGAGCTGAAACTAAGTCACTGGCTCTGAGTCTCATTTTCCGCGACGGACACGACACTGGCGACGAGGGTGGGATCCCAAGCCTGATTCCCCTCGAACACGTGTCCGGAGGAAACGAGACTGACAAGATGGCCAGCATCGCACCGCCAGCGCCGTTCAACCCAGCTACGGAGGATTGGGAATCATACACTGACTGATTCCTGATGTTCCTCGAAAGTAGCAACCTAAAGGACGCGAATGGGCAGAAGAAAAGAGCCGTCTTTCTAACACACTGCGGGCCCGCGGTATTTAAGATGGCGAAAGCCCTCGCGAAACCCGAAGACGTAAAGACGATGGACTGGGCCGATCTTGAGCTGTTGCTCCGAAACCACTATGCCCCGCCGTGCCCACCCTCATCAGATGGCACGACTTCTATCAGCGGGACCAGAGAGCGGGCGAGAGCATCAGCGATTTCGTGGCTGAACTTCGAAATCTCGGGGGCATGTGTGGGTTCACGGACATGGACAAGGCACTCCGAGACCGCGTCGTCCTGGGGCTCAGAGATCCGGTCCTACAAAGTCGACTGATGGCAAAAGGCGACATCGCCCTCGCCGACGTCCTCGCAGACGCCACCGCAGCCGAGGCGACCCGGAAATCGGCGGCTCGAATGCAGAGACCAGACGCCGGAGACCGCACCGCAACCACCAAGGGAGGCATGGAAACCAAGACACGCTCCGAAGCAAGCCGCCGAGAGACCACCACCACATACCATGGCGACCTCGACTCCGTTTCCGACACCACGGATGAGGAAGAGGACATCCATCGACTCCTGACGGAACGAGACCGGCACGATCAGCGGAGTCGTAAGTCGGGACCCCAATGTGCCGGGTGCGGAGGCGACCACCCTCGATCGGAGTGCCGATTTTTCGATGCGATATGCCGGCACTGCGATAAAAGAGGCCACATCACCAGAGTCTGCCGACTTAAGAAAAACTACAGCCCCCGGCGACGAGACAACAGCAACCGGAGATGAGACAGCACCCCCCCCCCAGGCCCAGAGACTGCCAAGCCAAAAATCGATGGAGCTGAGATGGACGGGGCCACCGAAATGGCGAGAACCGGCAGAGAGAGGAAACCCACCAGATGGTCGTCATCGGCCATTCGTCCAGTGCAGACGCCCGGAAGGTATATGTGGAAGTGGGCATTGAGGGCGAGCCATGCAAGATGGAGGTGGACTCCGGGTCCTACCTCTCCATGGTTGCATGGCGGGAAATCAAGCACTTGGTGCCCCAAATCCAAAGAAGGGGACTGGAAAGCCAGAAACTAATCCTCAAGGACTACCAAGGCAATCGCATCCCGGTAGTCAGAACAGGACAGTTCGAAATAACTTTCAAGGGGAGAAAAGCAAGGCTCCCGTTGACGATCGTGGACCGAGACCGGCCCAGCCTTTTAGGATTGCAATGTTCGCGCCACTCGGAATCAAAGTGACAGGCATCGATCACATTGGGGAGGCCGACTGGGAAGAACAACTCGCAAGGGACTTCCAGGAAGTGTTCGACGGCACCCTAGGCAAGTACCAAGGGCCCCCTATTTCCTTCAGCCTAGACCCCAGCGTTCCCCCAAGACGCCTAAAACCACGGCGGGTACCCTTCGCACTCCGGCCCAAGATCGACGAGCAAATAGACAAGCTTGTCAATCAAGGGGTTCTCGAATCAATTGACCACGCCCGGTGGGAGACCCCCATAGTCACCCCAGTCAAGCCCGATGGGTCGGTGAGAATCTGCGGGGACTATAAGGCCACCCTCAACTGCGCATTACAACAGAGCACCTACCACGTTCCAGTAGTGCAGCATCTCTCACACTCACTGGGGGGAGGCAAGGTTTTTGCGAAACTCGACCTGGCGTAAGCATACAACAACTTCCGGTCGACGCAGAAACCATAGTAACCCACCGGGGGGCCTTCCGCTGTAAGAGACTCCAGTTTGGAGTCAGTGTGGCACCAGGAATATTCCAGAGCCTCATGGAGAGACTCCTGCAAGGAATCAAGGGGGTGGTGCCCTACTTCGACGACGTACTGGTGTCGGCAGCCAACCAAAAAGAATTGGAGGGTCGCCTGAGGGAGGTCCTAACGAAATTCAAAAATGCGGGGCTGAAGGTTAAAAAAGAAAAATGCCAATTACATACCGAGAGGGTCGAATTCCTGGGGTACCTGTTAGATCGGCACGGAATTCACCCAACCGAAAAAAAAATCAGAGCAATCAAGGAAGCCCCCAAGCCGAAGAATAAAACGGAACTACAGGCATTTCTAGGGCTGCTTAATTTCTATAATGTTTTCCTGCCACAGAAGGCGACCGCGGCGGAGCCTTTGCATAGGCTCTTGGACAAGGCGGCCCCGTAGACTTGGGGGAAACGCGAGGAGGCCGCCTTCAACAAAACCAAGGACCTACTCACCTCGGATGCTGTCCTCATCCAATACAACGAGACCCTACCGCTAGCTGTCACATGTGAGGCATCACCCTTCGGCGTCGGCGCCGTCCTCAGCCACACTCTCAGCAACGGAAAAGAAGCACCCATAGCCTTTTTCTCAAGAACCCTCACCAAACCGGAAAGAAACTACAGCCAGCTGGACAAGGAGGCTCTGGCTATCGTTGCCGCCGTAAAAAGATTCCACGAATACATCTATGGCCGGACGTTCACCATCGTCACCAACCACAAGCCACTGCTGGGAATCCTGGCAGGAAACAGGGCCACCCCGAACATTCTATCTCCAAGAATGACAAGGTGGTCCGAATTCCTGGCCGCCTACAGTTACCGGCTCACACACTGACCCGGTAAGACAATCGCCCACGCAGACGCCCTGAGCCGCACGCCGCTACCTGACTTGGACACTGACCCAGCACCCACGACGACCACCCTTAGCATAGAGACTCTGCCCGATCTACCCGTAACCGCGTCAGACATTGCCCGCGAAACTAATAAAGACAAACGTCTGGCGCGAGTGTTACATTGGGTAGAGAAGGGGTGGCCCGAAAAAGACGTCGACAAAACATTCAGGACATTCCGGAACCGGCAAACAGAACTGTCATTACAAAAAGGTTGTTTACTTTGGGGGGATAGGGTTGTCATTCCGGAAAAATTACAGGGAAAGGTATTGGAATTGCTGCATGAGGGACACCCAGGCATCGTGCGGACTAAAGCCTTGGCCAGAAGCTACGCATGGTGGCCAGGGATAGACAAACGGATCGAGGCTTGGGTGGCAGCATGTAGCCGATGCCAGGAAACCAGGCCTAGCCCCCCTGACGCCCCAATCCTGGAATGGGAAACCCCCAGGGGACCATGGTCCAGGATTCACATAGACTTTGCCGGACCCACGAAAGGGCACACCTTCCTCATTACGGTAGATGCTTACTCCAACTGGTTGGAGGTAAGCAACATGAAAACTACCACCACGGAGGCCGTTACCAAAGAACTCAGCAAACTGTTCGCAACCCACGGCCTCCCAGACGTCATCGTATCCGACAACGGGCCCCAATTTACCTCGCTAGAATTCGAAAAATTCCTAGCGGAGCGGGGGATACGACACGCATTGACAGCGCCGGCACATCCGGTGGCGAACGGGAGGGCGGAACGAATGGTTCAATTTACAAAAAAAACAATCCAGAAAATAGAAAACGGGGAAATCCAAGAAAAAATAAATAAAATGCTTTTGATACAACACATAACCCCGAACACAACAACTAACAAAAGCCCGGCAGAACTATTCATGGGGAAAAAATTAAGGTCCCCATTAGACAGACTGCACCCCACATACACCCCAGAAAAACCCCCAAACTCCTCAAGCAAAGACCGAACATTTAAACCAGGCGACACAGTATACGCAAGGAACCTTACCGGGGACCCACTTTGGATACCAGCAACCATAACCCAAGTGACAGGTCCCCGCTCGTACCGTTTACAGACAACTGACGGACGAGCATGGAAACGACACATCAACCAATTAAGGTCAAGAACAACCACGGGAAACACAACCGACACGCAAACAGACACAGACACATACCCAGAAAAAGAAGGGGACCCCCCCCAACACAAACCAAGAGGGGAGGGAAGACCCCAAGAACCAACCCACACCAGAAGGAAACTGGGAACACTCACCAACAAGCAGCCAGCTCGAAGCCTCACCAGGAAGAAGCAGCCAGGCCAGCTCAACCAGCCCAGAAAGACCAGGCGGGAGCGGCAACAACCGCAGCTCAACCAGCCCAGGGAGACTGGGAGGGAGCTGCAACGAAAGGCCCAGCTCACCCTTCCAGACGGTTCCATCGACGAGGCAGAGAGCAACACAGAACCCGACCGAACCAGCCGGGAGCCAAGCACCAACTAACCTGCGCAGGTCAAGTAGACAAGTATGAAGCCCCGTCTACTTACGGGACTACGTTACGTAGGACCATACCAAGAGGGGAGGGGTGTTCTGTACAATCATTTACATACTTGTAAACGCCGCACGGTGATTGGTCAAGACGCACGGCGAGCTGATTGGCCGAGCGAGCCGCACTGATTGGCCCACCGCGAATCTCCCGCGATTGGTGGAAACTAATCGCAGGAGATTCAAAGCGGTGCCATTGGCCGCGGCCACCGCGGCCAAGGAATAAAAGCCGCCGCTTTTCCCTTTTCGAGCCAAGCCGATCTCGGAGCAAATAAAGAGCTGAAACTAAGTCACTGGCTCCGAGTCTCATTTTCCGCGACGGACACGACATAAATGATCTGCTAGAACTTAAAATTTTTAAACTAGACAATTTTGAACTATAGAACTTTTTTAAAAAAATCTCTGGCATTCCTTCGCCTCCATTGAAACAATCTGCCTGCTAGCTCCAAAGTCGTCAATCTTTTCTTGAGAGGAAGAAAGGATCTGTGATTCACCCCTTTTTGATGACAAAATGCAAAACCAGCAAACACTTTAAATCAGCTATCCCCATAAAAATGGGCTGTGTTTTCCCCCCCAAAGAGAGATTTTCAACATTCAACCAGCGATTTAAAGAAAGCATTTTCTAATTCTACCTCAATATCTATATCAATGATTAGATAATCAATTTCTAAAAATAATTAATTTATCAATTGTTTAATTGATTTATTGTTTTAATTGATCAGTGTGATTAGAGTGTTTAATACAAACAGTGTGATTACTGATTAATATAAAAAAAATCAGGCTTAATGTAATTTAATTGATTAGTAAAATTAGTGATTCAGTGAATTTAATTGAACATTTAGTGTAATTAATTAGGCTGATTGTTGCTTAGCATAATTACTTGACTAGAGAGATTATTGTAATTGATTAATTGGTGTGATATTGGCTTTATTGATTACCCAAAATTGTTTTATTAAGCAATTAATCAACGTACTATCTCAACAAACCAACCATGCCAGTAAAAAAAGCCAATACCAAACCACAAACTAAAAAAAAAAATCCCGACCAATGAACCACAAGATTCCTGCACATGCTTTATATGCTCTGTAACTCTAAAAGTTAATGATAATTCCATCAAATGTTCTCTATGTGAAAAATACGCTCATCATGACTGCCTGGAATTACCCAAGCAAATGACTCAATTCCTAGAAACATCCAATTATGCATTTCCATTTTTCTTCCCACCATGCAAACCCAAACTGGACAAACATATAGCCCTGTTTGAAAGAGTTGACTATAGAAACGCGAATATCATCCCTTGACACCATAGTAGCATCCCTGGACACTTTAAATGAAAGATTAAGTAACCTTTTAAAAAAAAGAAGACACAACACAAAAACCTGAACATCCAATAGCTACAAACCAACAACTGCAACCTAATCCACAAAAAAACATAAATCCAACAAATAATGATATCCCAATCCTCGTCAGAGAAGCTATCGAGCGCGAACGAAAGTGTCCTAATGCCATCTTATTTGGTCGAGAGGACATCAATAACAATGATGATATCACAATTGTTCGCAACATCATCAGTGACTATCAAGCATCAACCATCTCCCCTGATGAAATACTTGACATTTCTCGCATTGGCCGAGAGCTCAAAAACAGAGACGGCTCTGTGGCCCCACGCTTCTGCAGAGTCATTTGCAGAGTCATTTATACTATAAATTCACTCACCAAAAACAACACCAACCATATAAACCTCTGAGCCTAGTTGAAAATTACAGACCAATCTCCTTATGCTGCATCACCTGTAAAGTCATGGAATCAATTATTAACCAATCCATTATCCTCCACTTAAAGACAAACAACCTACTCTCTAATAAACAATTTGGTTTCAGAAAAAAACTCTCCAATAATCTGCAACTCTTAAACTGCAAAAATATATGGGCTACACAACTTGATCAGGGCAAAGCAATTGACACAATTGTAGACTTCTGTAAAGCCTTTGATTCAGTGGCATATGACAAACTACTCCTAAAACTAAAATCTTATGATATCTCTGGATACCTAGATAACTGGATAGAAGCATTCCTGTCAAACAGACAACAAATGGTCAAAATTGGGAGCGTCCTATCAAATTCTGTACCTGTCAACAGTGGTGTCCCCCAAGGCAGTGTTTTAGGACCAACTCTCTTCATACTCTACATAAATGACCTCTGTGATCATATTAAGAGCAACTGTGTTCTCTTCGCTGATGATGTAAAGCTATTCATCACCACAGACAATACTACTACCCTCCAAAAAGACCTTGACTATGTATCAGAATGGTCAATCAAATGGCAACTTCAAATCTCAACAAATAAATGCTCTGTCTTACATATTGGCAGAAAAAAAATCAAAAAATAAAATACAAGCTAAATAATCAAGACCTTTCTGAGGATCCCAACTTTGTCAAGGACCTTGGAGTACTCATCTCAAATGACCTAAATGCTAGAGCCCACTGTAACTACTTAGCCAAAAAGACATTAAGAGTTGTAAAACTAATCGTACATAGTTTCTTCTCTGGTAATATCACACTGCTAACTAGAACATACAAAACATTTGCTAGACCTATACTTGAATACAGCTCATCAATCTGGAACCTATATCATGTATCTGATATAAATACAATTGAAAAAGTCCAGAAATATTTCACAAGAAGAGTTCTCCACTCCTCTACTCATTGCAGAATACCTTATGCCCCCAGACTTGAAACTCTAGACTTAGAAAACCTAGAACTACACTGCCTTTGGTCCAATCGAAGAATAGTACATAAAATTATATATTGCAATGTCCTACCTGCAAATGAATACTTCAGCTTCAAATGAATACTTCAATACAAGAGCACACAATAGATACAAATTCAAGGTTAACCGCACCAAACTTGACTGCAGAAAATATGACTTCAGCAACAGAGTGGTCAATGTTTGGAATAGTCTACCTGACTCTGTGGTTTCTTCCCCAAACCCCAAAAACTTTAACCTTAGACTGTCTACTATTGACCTCACCCCCTTCCTATGAGGCCTGTAGGGGGCGTGCATAAGAGCACCAATTGTGCCTACCATCCCTTTCCTATTGTTTTTTATTTTTCTTATAAGTATCTATCTCATGTATTCAAAACTATATTTATTCTTATATCTGTATCTTGTAAGCGATTGACAAATCAAATAAAATGTAAAATGTAAATGTAAAAAAATCCTTAAACTAGACATTCTTTAACTGCTTAGAACCTTAAACTTTTAGCTATGCTTCCCCCCCAAATTTGAAACTTAAATGGTGTACACACACACACACACACACACACACATAAATTGGACATTTTTCCCTTTAAAAATCTGTGGTAAAATCTGCTACACTTCCACTTTCAATTTTTTTAAATCCACTCATGGAAGAAGAAACTGATACTATTGTGATCTGCCGAACATGTTCCATGTATGCACTTATGCCCATAG